GGGTCTATAGAAACCGACAACAGCAAGAGGCAATAAAAAAAGAGGAAAAGATTATGTCGTATACACTGTAAAAACAAACCTATAGAATCTACCCAATAAAATTGAGGTAACAATTTGCACTCACTTTGTTTGGGTAGATTTCATCCCATATTTTTGAATAAAGTGTACCTACATTTAATGGCTATGACATACTAAACAAAATTAGGTAAAGTCTACCTAATATTTTTCAATACGATACACAGCTAATTACTGAGTAATAATTACTCTATTGTTAGCAGGCAAAAGTCCATCTACTTAATTTTTATTAATAATAATAAGTCAATAGAAATAATTAAACATTACTTATTCAGAGATGGTTAAATTTACCTAAAAATGGCCAGACACAGGATAGCTCATGTATTACTTTTTATTGACCAAAAAACAAACATTTCAAACTAACAAAGGAACTACAAAAGAGTCCTCTTACATTAATATGACTCACATTACATACAACTTCTTCAACACTGTCCATTTAAAAATAATGGGAAGTCAGAATATACATTAAAAGCAACAGTCTTAAATTTCTCACACATTTTGTTATTTCAAACACAAAGAAATACACAATTTGATGTAATGTGTGGTGGTGGATCTATAATAAGAGCAGAGGCTGATCTCATTTACCTCAAAGGACTGACATGCTATATGGATACAAACAAACATTTAATTTTTTTATAAACTTAACACAAATTAATAAAAAATAACCATTATTCAACATTAAATTTTAAGCGACATACAACTTAATATCACTCACGTGATAACACTTTACAATAAGGTTTCATTAGTTAACATGGTTAAATGGTTAGTTCACCCAAAAATTAAAATTCTGTCATCACTTAGGCTACTCACCTTCATGTTGTTCCAAACCCATAATAATTTCATTCACAAATAAAGATCTTTTTGATGAAATCTGAGATATTTCTGTCCCTCCATTTGCAGTCTACACAACTACTGTACCACTTTGAAGCTTCAAAAAGTTCATAAAGAGATCGTAAAAATGTTCTGAAGAAAGACAATCACTTGTGATGAACAGATTACATTTAGGCTTTTATTAACATATTAACATTAATCAACTCCCACATCAGTTATGGTAAACGGAAGCTAAAACATGTTCCCTTGATCTGCGAGAACCAATGAGGTTAATTCTCGTGTTACGCAGCATGTTTGAGCTTCAGCAAGAACCAATGAGCTTCTGTTTGTTCGCTGATCAATGTTTATGTGAATAAAAGCCTAAATGTAATATGTTTGTCATATAAAATGATTGTCTATCTTCAGACAATTTGAACTAAACCGCTTAATGTGTCAATGGAGGGAGAGAGAAATCTCAGATTTTATTAAAAATATCTTTATTTGTGTTCTGAAGATAAAAGAAGGTCTTACAGGTTTAAAACGACATGAATGTGAGTAATTTATGTCATAACTTTCATTTTTGGGTGAACTATCACTCTAACTACTTTAGTTAACATGAACGAAGAATGAACAACACTTCTACAGCATTTACCAATAAATTATTATAATAAAAAGTTTTAATTTTTAACATTAGTTAATGCACTGAGAACTAATATGAACAATGAATGACTGTAGATTAGTAAAGATTAATAAATACTGTATTGCTCATTAATAGTCCATCTTAATTAATGCATTAACTAATGCTAACAAATGAAACCTTATTGTAAAGTTTTACCACTTAGCCTACGTTATAAAACTTCTTCAACACTTCCCATTCAAAATAAACGCCTTCATGGGATGAAACATTCTGTGGTTGAACTTATAATTCTTCTTGCACGGTCTTCAACTGTTTTCATGAAGATCTTTCTGTGGAAGAAACAAAGTAAGACATTTTTTAATTATACATTTTTGATTATAGATTTAATCAAGACATAAATTAACTGCATTTAGGCTTAAATCAATGTAAGCTTGCTTAAAAAACAACAAGACTGCTTTTACATGATGCACAATTACATCTGCATGATGCAAAATCAAAAGAGGAGAGCAGCAGTTAAAGTTAGGTGATATGCTAGCATAATATATGAACAATTTTGTGTACGTTAAATATTTGTAAAGGAGGATATGGATAACAAATTAAGCACATCGCGAAACCATGCATACGAAAAAAATTAACAAATTACCCAAATATATTAACACCAAACCGTTTTTGACATAGGGCCAACATTAAATGAAAGAACCCAACAGAAAGGCACACAATAATTATCATATCCGTCAATAATAAACAAAAACAAAAGTAGGCCTACTTTATAATTTGATCCCTTCTAACACACATATCATCATATAAATGCAAGGAAACCACATTAACGTTAACAGTTTTACTGCTATTATTATTTTCTCTACGTTAACGTTACCCTGTCCTCAGAACGTCAACAGTCTCTCTCTGTAACTTACAGACGCATTGCGCGCTGCGACTCTGTTGTGTTCACTAATTTCAGCCATGTACATAACACTAATGGCATATGGAAGCGAATATTTTACTCATAAATGTAGATTTTTACTCGCATTTGCAGGTGTATAAGACCCTGTAACTTAGCTATCAACGCGAAATCGACCAACCTCAGACTAACGTTAACGTTAGATATCATCAGCTATGGGTGTGGCGCCGAAAGGATAACAGAACACAGAAGCGAGCAAATTACAAATCTTTTGGTAAATTTGACTATTAAATAAGTTAACATTTGCGTTATATTATATCAACACGATAAACAACAACAAACAAACAAAATAAACTTACCTAGAGCTCAACACTTCGTCATCTCGCTGGAAGACGTTGAATTTGAATTCCGTGATTCCCGCATGGACGTTGAAGTTGGCGCATGCGCAATTTGTGACCACTGAACTAATATAATGGGGTATGTTTTACTCATTCTTTTAAGGTTGCAGATATTACTTTTAATAAATAGGTAGTGTAGTTAGAATGTACTCATTTTTATATATTTTACTTGCTAACTAATATACTTAAGTAAAATATAACTGATTTGCACAGGTTGTATTTAACACCCTCCTGCATAATTTTTTACAGTGTACAGACATATGCTTTGTAAACTCTCTTTTTAAAGCAATGAAGAAAAAATAGGCCTACATAGGCTACATACAAACATATTGAGTAGTGTGATTTAAAAAGTTTTTTCCATGATCAATAAAAAACGACAAAATGCTTTATTGTGGCGAATCTATCTGTCAACATCTTGTAACTCAATTAGCTAAACTTACGTGGTGTTATTAAAGGTTCCAAAATCAACAAATCATTGCAAATCAACATCGCCCCCACCACAAGACATTTCTCCGACAGTGAGACTCTGATCAGGCACAACTCCTGAGTCAAAAAGGTCTGAAGCAGGGAAAACAAAATAGGGCTAATTCTACAATAGATAGTTGCTTTAATATTAGACTGTCCGCGGGGGGCAGTTTATTTTCAATGACATTTAGGCTATAGGCTACTGCATCAACAAGCACTATCAGAGAATTGAGATGGACATCACGGAAGGTCGAAATATTTATTCAACGCTAAAGGATACTTCGGCGTCGGACCTATGCGCCTGAGCCATAGGCTATGCAACGCGTTGGTTTTCATTTTAAATTGCCTACTTCTGCGTCGTTGTCCGCGTTGAGGGAGCATGTGAAACCCGAGGGAGGGGTTCTAGCACACCAATCACAACGCTTGCGGTCCGCGTAGAATTGACGCGTTGTTAATTTTAGGAGAGGTGCACGTCAGGGTACGCGTGCTACATGCCTACGGCGTGAGTTCGACAGAAGTATAGGAATTGGGTAAATGCCAAAATATTGGCACTGCGGAATTATCTTGATACTCCAAAAACATGTTAAAATGTTTATATAAATAATTAATTCTAAAGTGACCAGATCAAAAAACGCTGGAAGCCGCAGAGGTGCCAATCTTGAAGATTTATTTCTTCGTGTCATCTATCAAAAGAAAATCGTGTAAAATGTTTTGTTTTCTAATTGATGAAACGTTAAAAATGGGATATGCCTATCGGGCAACTACATTTTAAATTGAGGAAGTTTAATAGTGCGCAAAAAGTAGGTCTACTATATAGGCCTAAGCACATTCATAAATATGAGCGACCCACGTTGTAACCTGATTTCCACAACATGTAAAAAAAAGGCGAGTGTTGTAGTAGCCTATTACAGGTCTGTGTTTTGTAACGGGGTCCTCATTGGGTCAAGGTCTGTGCTATTTCGTTTTAAATGAGTTTATTTGTACGTGCACTATTTTGGCGCTAAAAGATTTAAGACAAACAAGCCCGATACATTGTTTACTTTTTTCTAGATGTTAAGCGGCACTTTTGTTTTTCATGGTCCCACAATGTCAAACATGGCCCATATGCAAGCAGCCTTGACATTAAATAAAACTGGAAGCTTATATGCTATCCCTAAACGTTTGTTGTTCGTTCATTGGTTAGTGTTGACAATAACCTCTAATCTTTGCCTTAAGTAAACGACATGCGTTTAGGTCACACTTCGGCATATAGGCCTACCGCTCACCTTAATTGGAGCAAAAGGCTCTTTATATCTATAACCTATACATAAGCCTAAATATTACAGTAGGCATATCTAAATTGACTAAACATTAAATATAGGACATGCCTGCTTAGGGGATTAAATTATAAGAATAAGTTTAAACGAGCTCCACTTAGCCTAATTAATGTTGAGAGCACAAGTCCATTGTATGCATAGTTAATTTCTTTGCCTTTATCTTCTATAACGTTTAAGTAAAGATTATATATACCACTCAAAGTTTGAAAATACGTGGTAACCTACTGAGGATAAACTGCAGGCCTAATTATTTTTTACAGTTATTTAGCACCTTAGCGGCATGCGTAACCTGAACCTGCATCAGAATTCTCATTACAAGCCACATTCTAAAGTGAAATGTACGCAATACTCTTTAAAGTAACGTCTTTTCAGTTCAAAACAAAACTCCCAGACGATCGTACGTAGAACGAGAAGAGCAGTGCACTATAGCTTGTCCCACGGTCGCGGTAAAATTCGATGGCGTTCGCCGCGTGGATCAAACAGCCTCAAGAGGCCTCTTCCACTCCACTGGCTCCCCTGTTCTGCCTTTCGGCGCATGCGCGCACACGCGCCTCCACATCCCGAGAGCCTCCAGTACGGGGTTTGTGTGTTGAGCCAAAAAAAAAAAACCGCCTTCATCCACAACGCAACCGAAATATGGCTTTTCATCGAAATGGAACATAAAATACGGCTTTCAGGGGAGATAGGGATTCGTGAGAAAAACGCCCGACCGCATTTTTGTTGGTCTTTGTGCGTTGCTGGTGGTAGATGGTATCCAGCGAGCTGTATCTGGCAGAGGAAGACGACGACTCGGCGAGTAATATGAAGGAGATGATCGGTGGTTGCTGCGTCTGTTCGGATGAGAGAGGCTGGGCCGAAAACCCCCTCGTCTACTGCGACGGTCACGGCTGTAACGTTGCTGTCCACCAAGGTAAATATAAAAGACTATTTTATTTCACTTGAGGCGGGTGTTTTGATTAAGTTCCCGTCTGTTGTGGTGAGAGAATTAGCTTAGCATAACATAGCTTAGCCTAGCTTAGCTCAACGAACAGTCAGTATAACATAAGTTTAACCACTGGCGCTTGTTTGTGTTATTGGAACGACAGTAAGGAAATGTTAAATATTTTAACGATTCATTTGGAGTGTTTTAAGGTGTGGTGGTTGTTGTGAAGCAACGGTTCGCCGAAGGCCTGTTTGTGTGCTAATGTTATGCGTTAGCACGAGCGCTACACGGCTGTAACAGCATGCCGCTCATGGTTGTTCATTATCACCACTGTCTCAGGACCAACAACGTGTCAGTCACAGCTATGGAAACAAAGATGAGTCACATTCAGACAAGCTCTGTAAGTCATTACAGCTAGGCTGATAACACACATTTATGGCTAGTCAGCAAAGCTGTCAACAAATTCCGGACTCTTAACAGGATCTTGACTGGTTATCCCACGTGTAGTTATTTGTCTTGCATTTTTTTTAGTTTGTGGGACGCTTCAAGATGTCACAGACAGTAATATCTTGGTTTCAAGAATATTGTCTTTGTGGGAACCTCAATGGCTACAGACGTGTGAAGCAGAAAAATATGAGTTTTGAAAATCAACTTTTATGTTTTTGATTTTAAGTAGAAATCTGATCTAGTCTTTAAACTGACGGGCTGTCATTGAAGTTTAGTGTTTTGACATTGAGGTCCTGTTGTTGATTTCTATTAAGGTTCTATTACATGCAATGGAAATATTCCAACTTGATTAACAAGTTTTTGCCTCTACATGCTATGTAAATAACTGACAAGCTTAGTTCAAATGTGTTATCCTAGATTTGGTTTTAGAGCTGTCACTTCGTTCCTCAGCATCTGTTTTGTTAGGTCGCTGAAGATGATCCAGTACAAATGGGTAAAGTTGTCACCTTTAGACTTGTAGACAGATGATATTGTTAGTGTTTGGGCAAGCGTCTGATATGACTATTGATTAGCTGACTGTTTGTGACATTGTTGCAGCAAAACATTTTGCTTAGTTTTTGCCTGCCATTGGAAAGTGGAATTGCATGTTCATTCGTATTTGCACAAAAATAACTATGAAACAGAAATTGGAATACTTGCATGTCTTTAAATTTTGTTCAGTGTAGAAATTACATTTTGTCAATGGCTAGTTTTTCCATCAGCTATTTTAAATGTTCTCAGCTCTAATGTATCAAATAGATTTTATATAGCCTAAGCCTATGTGAAATTAAACAAACATGCAAAGACCTTTGTATTGGACAAAAAATAGTGAATAGTGAACCTGGATCTCGTTTTGGTCTAGCTTTTCTTTCACACTGTTGTTTGTTTAGAACCTAGTTTAGGTTGAGCTAAAAATGACAAAATACTTATGAGTGATCTTCACTGTAAATTAAAACAATAATAATAAGACAAACTGTTTTGAGACCAGTGACACAAGAGAACATGAAAACTTCTCACATGATTTTGTTCTGCAAAGTGCTCAAACTGCATTTTTGTTTCGTCTGCTTATCAAGATATAATCTAACGGGTTTCTTCAAGTGCATCCAGGCAACAGTATTTCCTGTAACATGTCAGTGTTACAAGAAGTCACGTGCCACATGAGTTAACTCAGACTGTGCAAAAATTACCTATGTTTGATGGCGGGTGTTAATTTCATACCCCGATGTTGTTGCACTACAAAAAGCTCTCACATTTCTTAAAATATAATTTTTAACACTCTCACATTAATCTCGAAACTTGACAGGAAGAGATAGTAAAGCTGTCAGATTTACAGTAGTTGGAAGAAAGTCTCGTCATCATCTCATCTGTCCTTCATTCCTGTTGTTTCAGCCTGCTATGGTATTGTCCAAGTCCCCACAGGCCCCTGGTTCTGCAGGAAATGTGAATCACAGGAACGTGCTGCCAGGGTGGTGAGTTTCCTCTTTCCAATCTTTATACAAATCTTTCAGGCTATCTGTTTTGCTGAAGTCCAGATCTCCTTCCTCTTTTTGTACATTGTGGATTTGTTTGCAGTTTCCATTAGACAGATAATATTTATTATTGATACTTTGAACTGGTAATTGTAACTTGTCTCTTATAGTTTTCAAGTCAAAAGCTTTGGTAGCCAGGTTGAGGGACATATTAAAATAAACATGGTTGAAGGTCAGTCAATGGACATTTAGGCATTCAGTATAATGCCCTGTGATCAGACAGTCTAATCTTGTCAGATCAGAATACAGTGCAATTAAGACCAGGGTATGCATGGACAAACGTCATTTTTATCAATGTTTTGTCTGGTAACTACAACTAGGGCTGTGTGATTAATCTAAACTGAATTTCAATTTTGGCACTCGATGATTATGAAAACACGATAATCAAGATAAAACGATGATGGTGCCAGTGGTGCGTTTTCGCTCCTCGTTAAAAGCCCAGACTCGCATGTAACGTGACTTTCATAAAATGGGATGTGCTTGATATTAAAAAGAGTTATTAAAAGCATGAAAGAGACCTTGCTCTGTTCCACATGCAGCTTTCTGTGGCCGTGCTCCGACACGGAGCAGAACACGGTGGGACAAGCAAAGTGAACTTTGAGTTTCGGGTGCATGCATAAAGGTAAACCCGGTTGGTTATGTCTTAAGTGAACATAAACAGATGGGAGAAAATAAAATGTGTATATAAGAATTGTGTGCATGATGCCTTAAAGTGACAGCAGCCTAATATATGCATCTGATGTTAGTCAAAAGAAAGAGAAAATCACTCAGTTCTTGACTGAATGACCTTTTTGTAGCTTTAAAGGTAGGGACCCACCAAACCGACGCCAAAGAACTAGCGCTGATGAAACCCGACTGTGTTGTCGCTTGCGTCGGGGAAAAAATCTGTGCTTGAACACACCAAAAGGACTACAGGCTACTGTCAAGCATGCACGTTCTGCATATTGGAGATAAGTCTATTTAAGCAGGTATATTCGTCATTCAAAAAGGGAAAGCGAAACTAAGACTGCAGGTATACAAACCATAAACAAAGCAGCGCTTGCAAAATTAATCGTTAATCAAATCAAATCAAATCAAAGTTTATTTATAGAGCACCTTAAAAAACACACTGTGTACCAAAGTGCTGTACAATTTCAAACGAATTAGATAAAACACAATAAAATATAAGAAAGAATACAATATAAAAATTAAGAAGTAGTACAATACTATAGATATAAAATCAAAATCTAGCGGTCAGCAAAGGCCTCATCGAACAAATATGTCTTAAGCTGAGCTTTAAACATGGTTACAGAAGTAGAGGATCTGATGAACATTGGTAACCCATTCCACAACTTGGGAGCAGCGACTGAGAAAGCACGATCTCCTTTAGTTTTTAAGCGTGACCGAGGAATCGTTCAAAATTAATCGTTTCATTGAAGCAACGGTAATAAACCATTATCGATTATAGCCTACTGACGTTTCTCTGACCTCCTTTGTCACACACGTGCATCTCATGCTAGTGTAAAATGGTGGAGGGAGGCGATTGTGAAACACAAAAGCGAGTAATAAAAAATGCACCTACTATTTTAAAATTTACAGCATGTGTGTCCATGCGAGTTGATTGCGAGTGTGTGAACGTTATTGTAACTTAAGTACACTTGACAGTTTCATGTGCTTTTAGTATTTACTAGTGTTTGTTCTAAATGGTCCTGTCGTCTGTGTTCAGGCTTAAGTTTTGTTTGATGTTTGCTACATTCAGGAAGTGTACTTTCTTGGAACAGATAAAATAAAAAGGGAGTTCATATATATCTGACTGCTTGTATTCTACGAAAATGTATGTATGTGCACTGCAGTAATTTTGAAAAGTGAGGAGGCAACGCATCGTGAAATCGAATCGGTGACATGATAATCGTAATCGAATTGAATCGTGAGACCAGTGACGATTCGCACCCCTACTGACTGTTTTGAATGTCAATCATGCTGCTCACATTCTTTACGAATATCAATCATGCTGCTCACGTTCTTTACGAATTATATCAATCATGCTGCTCACGTTCTTTATCGGCTCATGATATTATGAAAGTATTTGAGCATTTCGAATGCTAAGGTAAGATTACGTAAAATTGCAACAGCCTTCTGTCTGTGCCATCATGACGACTTTGCTTGCTTTCATCACTTTTGCTCGTATTTCTCGTTCACTGATTCGTTTGCTAAACTGAACAGCCAATCAGAGTTCTCTCACCGACTGCCCGAAGCCGATTCTACAAGTTGAATGGGCCAAAAAAAACAACCCACTGCATCCGGCTAGAGCCAACGGTGCAGAACACACTGGAAAAACTGAGTCGGCCGACGCTCAAAAAACTGCCGACGGTCGGCTTGGTGTGTCCCTGGCTTAATAAGAATCAAAGTAAGTTTAATTCTTAGTGAAGAATTAAGAATGCTGTTTTATTTTTCTGATTCAATTTCTGTAGTAGGCTGTTAGCTGAATACTTATAGACTTACATGAGAAAAAAAAAGCACTGATTGTTTCAATTGTATATTTTCTTTTGCATTTGTCCTGCTGTTTGTAATTAGGTTTTTATTGTATTACTGACTGTTTACATATTGTGTAAATCACAATTTTTTTTATTTAAAAAAAGTTCACGATTTTCCCATGATTAATTTGAATTCGTTAAGTCATTAATGAATTATTTGAATCAGCTTTTTGAATGAATCTCTTGAATGAATGATTCAATGACTCACTCATTTTGGGTGCTTCTCAAATGGAAGGCTGATGTCCTAGTAAGACTGCATATCTCGGCTGCCATGTCATCAAGCGCAGCTGAAGGCTGTCTCAATTTGAAGGATCATTGGAAGGCAGCCTTCATTTTGCATCCTACATTCAGCTCATTCTAAAGGATGCATCGAGTGTATCTTTCGTGTCCTTTAATCACTTACAATCCTTTGCACACATTCCAATTCACAAAAAAAGAACTGACGAAAAAACCAGTCGGCAGCACTGAGCTTGTCTGAGTTCATTATGAAATGTAAGACAAAAATAACATTTTCAGAGATGAAGGCAATGCATGTTATCTTTTGTTTTGGTGTAAATTAATCACTTAACACTAAAGTGCCAATAATGTAAGCCATTGGGAGACCACCAACAGTTGTCATTCACTGTATTGCATTAATAAAAGGCCAGTTAATATAAAGATTTTTAATACAAAGTATGTTTTCCAAAATTACATTTTCATGCGGTGACCATGGTGTGCCGTAGCCATGTGCACTTACTAGACTGTCTCATTCTAGCTTTCAATGCTGAGTCGTCGTCTAGCCTAATGACGCTTTTCCGCTGCATGGTACGGCTCTGCTTGGTTTGCTTTTCCACTGCAGTTTTGTATCGCTTCAAAGTGGGTGGGATTATTGACTGATTGTAAGTTGCTGAAAGGTTCCCTGGTTGCGCCCCATCCAGCTCCTCGCTGGATCCGCTCCTCGCTACCAACGAGAGGAACGTCTGTACCTCGTCTACTGACCACAATTCAGCCATTTCTTTTTTTTAAATTTTCGTTTAAAAAAAATTGTGCGGAAAAATGATACTGCGGTGGCTGTTGCTGACTATTTAAATCTAGCAGGTTTGGTGTGTCGTGTAGCAAATCCAACGACGCTGGTAGTGACGATTCTCTCTGACCAATCAGTGATCTGCAGTGTTCACACGTCACATTTTAGTATCGGTACGGCACGCTTGGAACCTCAACAGAGGTGGAACTATTTAAGTGAGCTGTACGATGCAGTGGAAAATCGCCCAAAAGTGAGCCGTGCCATGCAGTGGAAAAGTGTCATAAGGAGCATCAAAAGGACTGGACTCAGCCTCGCTAGGATACAGCCTTCTGTTTGAGAAGCACCCAAAAGACTTAACTTGTTTCATTAATGGATGAATTAGTGTTTTTGAATGAATCTCTTAAATTAATGCGTCAAATGACACATACATTTTGACACATACAAGTCACTTGTTGTCACCTACTGGTGTAAGGATGCCAAGTTCAAGCTGTTTTTATATCCTAACTTTTATACTAGTTCTTCTGTCATAATTTGAATTATTGAAAGACAAAAATAATTATACTGTGTGGTGGTAAAAAAAAAAACACTGTTTGTGAATTTGTTTCACACCTTTACATGACATCTCTGTCTAGGTCAGAGGCAGCGCCAACGCAGATTTGAATGTTCGCTGTGATCCTATTTGTCAAAGGTTTAAGATCACATGGGTGTTTGAAAAGAGATCGCAACCTTTTAATGATTAATCGTGCAGCTCTACAATATGGTCACATTTTCATTAAAAAAAATTCCTCATGATCTTGTATTGATTACTTTAGATTAAATCAATATTTTTGTATTTTGTTTTTTTAATTTTTGCATTTATATCATGTTCAACAACAGTTCAGTTATTATGAAGCAGGTTGTCTATGCATAAACTCTGAGACTACATTTTCTCTGTTTGGTCTTTTAAACATTTTTTTTTGTTTGTTTTAAATCAGTGTCTGGAAGTGGGCTGAAACACTTAACCTTAAATCACATATTTACCAGTGTGTACCAAACCGTAACGTGGGGTGTATGTAAAAACTGTATGACTTGTCAGGACTCTTAGGCCTGTATGCATATCATCATTTTCAAATACCTCCGGCTTCACAGTCCAGGGAACTACACTGCGACCAAAATGGTCGCATATGCGACCTTTTGAAATGCCATTGCGACCCTAATTTTTAATGGGTCGCAAATGTATCACCGTTTGATTATTTTTGTACCTATATGTTTTAGGCAATATGCTATGATTTACTATGAGCATTTATTAAAACAGAAATGTGTATTTTAAGAATACGTTTTATAACGTTCTCTGAGCATTCAACACATCAAGTTGGCTTCGCGCTTGTTTAACTGAGAGAACGAGAGAGAGTGAAAGCCGCGCGCGCGCACTCTCTCGCCGTCTT